GTCCAAAGATTGTTTTGGGGTACAGCTTGGCCCCAGTATCTGCCTATGTGATAGTCCTGGGGGCACCTCACTTTGGAGCAGCTGGCATAAGAACTGCGCTTTGGACCAGGACACAGCATATGTCCCCTCGAAGGGGAGAGTTCACTGAACATGGGGGTGTATGAAGTTTGGGGGTCCAAATCTTATTTTTGGGGTTCAGAGCTTTCAAACTCTCCTCAGTGTTTTTGGATGAATTCATGAATAAGACGCAAATAAGGAATGAATAAGGAACTGGGAATAAGGAACCAACTTCAGCCTCCTCTTAGAACATTGGACTAGGATCTGGGAGACCCAGGTTGAAATCTTCACTCTGCCAGGGAAGCCTGCTGGGTGACCTTGGGCCGGTCACATACTCTCAGCCTAACCTACCTCACAGGGTTTTTACAAGGATAAAATGGATGGAAGAAAAACAGTTTAAGTTGCTTAGGATCCTCACTGAAGAGACAAGTAAATAAATAAAAAGAAATGTCACTAAATTCTGGTATACAGAGAAAGCAGGCTGGATGTAGAGAGTTTAGGAGAACGATGCAAGCCATTCTGGGTCCCCATTGGGGAGAAAGGCGGGGTGTAACTGAAGTAAGTAAATAAAGAACTTTGAAGGCACTAAAGAAATATATGGAAAATTTTTGCCATTGCATTTTTAAACATTATGTTGCAACTAGGAAGTCTTGAAATTTGCTTTAACAAAAAGCAAGATGAGATTCCAGGTGATAACTTGGTTTCCTGGCGTAAGCAGGGGGGACTTGACCACAAGATACTCATTTATACTGTAACAGGAGCATGCGCTTACTGAAATATATATCGGGGCCACAAGCCCACTTTTTATACTGTCAGAAGCATTGCCTTAAGCCTCCCTAAAGGAAACTGCTGAGAGTAAACAAATTTGCTGATGGCAGCATTTCCCAGCAACATTTCCCTGGGTCAAAATACAAAGCAGTTTTGTCTCAGAATTTGCTGCTGTGTACACATTGCTTGCTGAAGTCTGTAACTTAGTGGCATATCAGAAGGAACTGGACTGCATCCTCTTCCTGTCTCTTCCCAGAGAGAAGGTTTTTTCCTCTCTCTTTCTTTCCCCAGTAGAATGGTATTTGAATGAAGAAAATCTTCACTGTTTCCAGAACATTCCTCCCCTTTTCCCTAGAATGTGTGGCATTTTTTAATTGTACAAATAATCCACTCAGCATACAAACCACACAACAAAAACAAGAAGCTGCTGTATATTGAGTCACTTATATTGGCACAGTGTTGTCAGTTAGTGTGCCGGGCAAAGGGTCTTACCCAGCCTTGCTAACTGAGATGCTTTATATTGGACATACCAGGGATTGAGCCTTGGATGCATTCCAACCACAGTGCTGTGCTGCTGGCTTTTGAGTTATCCCCCTGAATACGTTCTAAGGTACAAATGTGATTACCCTTAGCCCAGGGGAACACTAGGATCTGAATCCACAGCCTTACAGATATATCCTGCCCTCTCAGTTTAACAAATTCATGGGTTAGCTTGTGACATTAAAAGAATAAGCCCACACTTTTAAGATCTAGCAAGGCAACAGCAAGGGTATACGACTGCAGTCTTGCTCTTCTGTGTCTGTATGATAATTGGCCTCTAGTGGAGTCTGAGAGGGAGGGGCCAGGTGACAGGAGATCAGCCAGGCTGGCTGACTGAAGGATTGGCATTATCTCTTCCACTCCAGAAAGGTAGTTGGCCATTGATGGAGTGTGCTCAAAACCCAAACTGCAAGTTGCTAACATCCTCTGTAATTTATTTACTACAGTATATTATTACTACTTTATAGCACTTTTGTTGTACAAAATTATTTACAAATGGTTGTCCCCTTCACACCACAACAACCCAGAGAAATATGCCAGTTGATCAGCCTGTACAGACCCCACAACCCAGATAAATATGCCAGTTGATCAGCCTGTACAGAAATGGTATTGATGCTGAGAGAGTTTTTCATGGTCCACCCTTTAAATTTATGACTGAGATGGTAGTTTACCTTTTGATGCATAATACAATGGCAAAAGATACTTCCCCACAGTACAACAGAAATCTTTAAGTGTACATATTTCCATATGCTGAACAGTAAAACCCATTAAATTGCACTTCGTCAAATTTAACACTGGCATATTGCTAAACAGCCAAAAATGTTTGTTTATGTACAGGGCTATTTTTGGGCAGGAACACACAGGTATGGAGTTCCGGCTGGCTCCCAAGTTGGCCACGCCCAGCAGGAACTCATTAGCATAATAGGCCACAACCAACAGCAGAAACTCATTAGGATTGGCTACATTAGGGGTGTGTGGCCTAACATGCAAAGGAGTTCCTGCTACAAAAAAATGGCCCTGGGTTTTGACAACAAACAAGGTAAACAGAATAACAAGCAAAAGGTGGGTGTAGCTGGATAACCACACTTCTGGTAACGTGGGTGTGGCCTAATGTGCTAATGAGCTGTGTTGTCAGGGGTGTGGCCCAATATGCTAATGAGTTCCTGCTGTTGGGTGTGGCCTATTATGCTAATGAGTTCCTGCTGGGCTTTTTCTACAAAAGGAGCCCTGTTTATGTATATGTTTGAAACAGAAGTACTCCTCTAAAACCATATAACGCTAGTTGTTAAACACCGTATTATCCCCCCAAAAAACATATAATGTGATAACTACCAGCCCATGCTTGATGGGGAACAAACCCTGAAATGCATATTTCCTAATCATTTTTTTTGTTCCACTTCAAAATTTCGGCACCCCACAAGTATGTATGAGCTATATAACTAGAAGCAGACTTCTCAAACTACAGGGATAAACTGAGTGCATTTGTAATAGCCTTTGCTGCCAGTATGGATAACACATTGTTCAAATGCAAAGGAGCTGCATGTTTTAAGTTTTTGTCCCACTTTTAAGCAGCACGCTGCCCGGTTATAAAGCATGTAATAAGTCACAGCGTCTGTCCTGCGGTTATAAAGCATGTAATAAGTCACAGCACCCACAATAATAAAACATAATAATAAAATAAAAAATAAAGCACAAAAGAAGTTATGTGGCTTGTACAAACTCCGTATCTGAACATAATTTGGCTCAAGAATAGTTTATCATTACAGCCCTATGGCATGTTAGATCCAACAAACATGATCATAGCGCTCCCTCCAGCATGCATACCTGTTGTCTATGAGTTGGACACCATATCTGCATAGATGCCTACATACATAAAGCACTGTACATACCGGACCAAACCCCATGATCTCTGCATTCCTGTTATATGATATATGAATTGTATAGTTCAGGCCTACACACGCTGGGTTCTGCATACATGTACCTCATGCACATATGATAATACAAGCACCAGGTATCAGGTGAACTCAAGTATGATCTAATTGCTACATGAGATGGTAACACTTGAACAATACTATTAATGTGCTCTCTTTATCCTCAGTCACCAGTGTAACTGTTTCAGCGACAAACATGTTTATGGCACAGGGGGTATCATTAATTGGAGCAACTGGATCACCCAGAGAGTTTATAGCATTTTTGTGTATTTTTAAACTGAAGGGGACAGTGGACCTTTTTAGATACTGTTTTACTAACAAGCACAAACAAGGAACAACAATGCTAATTTCCGTTAAGCGGTTTTTGTTGCAGGCAATAAAATATGTCAACACTATTCCCAGCCATACCACCAGTTAATCAGATAATGGATATTTGTATGTAAAAGATAAGGACATACTTAAGAGCTTTACTGGACCAAGGCCAAGGTGAATAAGGCAAGCAGGAACTGCTTGCCCCTTAAAGAAGGGGATTTTTGAAATTATCTCTGTGCTGAAGAATATACTCCAGTGTGGTGTTTTGTTTTGTTTTAAATCAGCAATGCTTATTTGCTGTTTTCCTGTTTTATAGATAGCCAGCGACTACAGATGGACCTTCAGAAAATGGACTTACTAGAAGGCAAGATGATTGATGAACAGGTTGCTCTTAAGGGAAAAATTGAACAAATGACCAAAGACTTGGAACTATACAGAGATTTGCCAGCTCTGAAGGCAGCAGGAGAAGAAAAGAAGAAGGTACTAACTGTCAAACTGCATCTGTGGTATTTTGCTTGAGGCTCAATTACTGCAGTAGTCATATTGAAATGTAGCATATGTGTCATCTTGGTAATCCTTGTCATGCATGCACCACACACATTATGGCATGTATGGAACTGTGCTTCTACAGTGCCATCCCATGTGGCTGCAGAATGTGTCTGAATAACGTAAGCACATGGGAAAAGACCCACATTACCACTTTCACATATATGTGGCTGTGGAACTAACACACATAGTGCAAGCTGTGTCAGACAGCACTACTAGGAAGCCGTTCTTTGGCGGTGTGGGAAAGTCCTTAATCTTCAAAGCATTGGAAAAAATCCCGCTTTTGATAAATGGTATCATTTTCAAACTGTTCCAGACTTGAAACTGAGAAGTTAAAATATATCTTAAGTTACACTGAAGATGTCATATAATACTGTAAAGGTTTAACAAATTGCTTGGTTCCAAAAAGATAGTTGTGCAAAAATACCTGCTGTAATTGCCCACACACCTTGTCTGCCTTGCCAGACCCTCTTCCTTGTGTATCACTTGCCTGTCTTGCATTATACTACCATCCTCTGCGCCTCCACTGCTCTATTAACAGAAGAGTGTGCTGTAACTTTTTCCCAGCTGTGTATCTCTGCCACTTGAAACCAGGAGAAAATTTGAAGATAATCTTGTAGTGCTTTTCCAAGGAAATGAGTGCTGCAGCATGATTGACTGTACCCACCATCTGTCCTGGTAATAAAGGAGCAGAAAAGGTAATACATACTTGAAAGAGCACTACAGATTGATTTTGGATGTCTTTCCCAAATGTAAGGAGCGGAGCAATGCAACTAGGATGGAGTTTTGGTGGCATCAAAATCAAGAGTGAGGACTATGTGGAGGGAATCAGAGGCAAGTATTGCCACTTCTCTGATCTGCCAAGGCAGTTCTGTGCGTGTCTCAGGTGTGAAACATTGCCCCTCTGGAGAGAGTGATGTTAGTTTGACACCCAGGCTCAATCTTCCCTGTCTGCTAATGGTATGACAGGAGAACATTTTTAACTGAATGAGAAATTGTGCATGCATAGTTCCCCAACCCACTCTAGCAGCTCTTAACTGAATGAGAAATTGTGCATGCAAGTAGGTGCTATGTGCATAGTTCCCCAACCCACTCTAGCAGCTGGTGCTGCATACACATAGCCATACAAAATCTGCTCTTCAGGAGGGAAAATATAGGGCTTGATTCAGTTTCATATAAAAGATGTGAACTTCCATTCATAAAGAAATTTAAATATTTTGCATGAGGAGGGGAATCTTCCGCTTTCCAGTTTCTTGGAGATTAACTCAGTGACAAACTTCACATACTTCACACACATGAGCTGGCTTTTTCTCTTTCATGGGAACAAAAAAAGGGGAAGAAAAACTTAACCCAAACAAACGGAATTAAGAAAGCAAAAGGTAAATTACCAAAAATATAAGAGCCAAGTAATAATTAACAACATATAACATACATTATCTAATATACCAATATATATTACAAATATCTCTCCCTTATAATAAAAGAGTTTTGGGTGCCAAAGTTCTAAAATGCACTCCTTTAGTGTTAGGCCGAAAAAACTGCCACTCGGAAGACACTGGCAAACAGAAAACACATGTGATCAAGACCATATGGATTTCAGCCTTCCTCAGTGGTCAAACATATATATTGCACATTAGCTCCAAATAACACAATGAATACTGAAAATAGGACCAATTAAAATGGTTTTATAAGAAATCTCAGTGACTCAAGACAGGGATAAAATACAGAAGCCTCATTTTCAAATACCTCCTGCAATTGCTGTTGGCTCCAAATTGCATGATAATATACTTTCCTTGGACCAAGAGAGAAAGACACATATTTGATGACACAAGTATACGACCAGGGTAGAAGGTATTTGAAAATGAAGACTCTGTATTTTGTATGTTTTAATTATTAATTATATATTTTGTAATTATTTTTTGGTAATTAATCTTTTGGTTTCTTAATTTTTCTCTTCCGTGTACAGGATCATGTGTTATCGTCAAAATGGGTACTAGACAATTGGGTTAAAAGGTTTCAAGCTTTGTTTTTGAATTGCGAACAGAGGCTAAATACTAAAAGATAAGCATTTTAAGATAAGAGCTTAATTTTTTTTTTATTCCCCTGAACAAAGAAACTGCAAGAAGAAAAAGAAACATTAACCAAGCGCAAGGATGCTTTCAAGAAAATCATGGAGCATCTAAACACAGAATATGAAGGCTTGAAGTTGCAGCTTCAGGAAAATGAAACACATTCACAGGTACAGTTAAAAATACCCATTGCCCTCAGTAGTTGCCCATCTCTGACTTTTCAGAGGTACAAAGCTTTGTATAGTGCATGTTTATATGTATGTGTACGTGTTGAATGGATTCCAACTATCTTTCAAGAAGTCTTGAGTTTGGAAGGACACTGGATTTCTTTCTAAGAAGTAACCTGTGGTAAGACTGAATTTGAGCCCAGAAGCTATAATATTTGGCAGTAACTGCTGCAATCCTAAATACTTTTTTAAAACTTTGAAATAATGGAGACTACTTTGGGAAAATTAGTCTGCATGGAGGTAAGATATTTTCTGTTTGACAAGACAAGGGAATATGAATGTGGACATTCATATAGCCACAGTATCAGTCATGATTAAAATGTACCAACTGTGCCATATTTTGTGCCAATCTAAAACTCAAGTAGATTCAACAGATCTTTGAGTTTTTCCATTCTGCCAGGCTATTAACAGTATAAGACACCTGTCCCTAATATAAGAATTATATTTTTCTCTGTTTTCTTTTTTCAGTCTTCCCACAGTATACATTTAAAAAGCTTGTATTCAGTGTAGTCTGTTTGTTCTACCATTACAGAATCAAAGTACTATTAAAAAGTGAATCCTGCGGCTGACTAAGACGCCATTCAAATATCTGTACAGCAACAATTTTTGTATAGTTTATTGTTACATAGTATTTAATGCTGTTACATATTATTACATACATTTAATCAAAGAGGAAGCAAATTGCCGGCTTTTTGTCCGTGTAGCATGGCCCAGAGTGCAAATATTTTATTTATTTATTTATTCCTCATATTTCTACCCCGCCCTCCCAGCCGAATGATACCAAATTCTGTGCTAGAACATTCTTAGAAACTACAAACGGGGGCCTGCAAGGGCTTGTAGGGGTCATTTTATTTTCCCCTCCCCCACTGTTTCCTCTTTACCTTCCCTAAAAGCCCCCTTAGCTTCTCTCCTTTTCCTGCTTCCCTCTCTCCTTCTCACCTACCAGCCAACGTACCTTGACCTGCCCCTCTGTCTTCACCTTTTCCTTCTTCCCTCCCCCTGGCAGCTTCTGCCCTGGATAACTGTAGCCCAGTTGCATTGTGCCAGCTGCTGGGCCAAGCCCAGTTTACACAGTAGGTAATTTGCAAGGACTTGTGGGGGCGCTTCATTTTCCCCTGTATTGTCTTTCCCACACTATTTTCTCTTTCCCTGCCCCTGGCAATCCCCATATCCTCACACTTCCCTGTTTCCCTCTTTCCTTCCCACCCACAAACGAATCTACGATTTATTTATTTAGTATATTTATTCATTCATTTATACCTTGCCTTCCTCCACAATGGGGACCCAAAGCAGCTTACATCATTCTGTTCTCCTCCATTTCATCCTCACAACAATCCTGTGATATAAGCTAGACTGAGAATGTGTAACTGACCCAAGGCCTCACCTAGTGAGCTTCCATGGCAGAGTGATTATTTGAACCTGGGTCTTCCAGACCCTAGTTTGAAACTCTAACCACTGTACAACACTGGCTTTCATCAGGTGGCTGCTGTTAAACAGTAGCAAAAAGCCAGGCCTGGGTGAGTCATGAAAATTGGATGATAGCAAGTCACTTCCTAGCTGCTGGCGGGCCTGTCCCCAATGGATTCACCCTCAGAGGCCAAAATGACCCTGGAAAGGGCCTTCTCCCTTCTCCTATCTTTACTGACAAAGTCTTGAATGCTGGCAGTACTTCTGTGGTTGTCTAGCAACAGCCACAGAAGGCATTTATCATTTATTTTTTAAAGCTAGGGGCACTGCTTCTGTTTTTTTTTTGGGGGGGGTGTATCACCACCAGTGTATTTTTATTAAATTCTAGATCTTTCTGCAAACCTGGGGCTTTTCTCAGGTTTATAGAAAGATCAGTCTTCTTTATTCATGGCCCCAATCTGTGGATTTGAGTATCCACTGTTGGAGAATGCTGAAAAGTAGATATATTGATGCTGTTGTAATAAACTATACAAATTAGGAAGTTTCTTCATAAAAGTGTATAATCTTGGTACTTCTATGTGAATTTGTATTTGGTCAAATTTAGAATATTTTTTTCAAACTTGCTTTTATTTGTCTTGCACATTGAGGGTGGAGATTGGAGAGTAATAGTTGTATTGAGGGTGGAGACTGGAGAGTAATAATTGTATAAGACAGTTGGCTCAGGCTGAGTCGGCTGAAACTGAATCCTGTGTGTAGGCCGGGGCGGCACGCGGGTGGGGACCCCACTCCCGACCTTTGGTGGGGCGCCATTGGTGCCAGTGCCAGAGGTTAGGAGTTTGGGAGTGCTCCTGGATTCCTCCTTAACAATGGAGGCCCAGGTAGCAGCTACTGCTAAGTCAGCCTTTTACCATCTTTGGCTGATTAGGCAGTTGGCTCCCTTCCTCGACCACAACAACCTGGCCACAGTGATCCATGTGACGGTCACCTCGAGACTAGACTACTGTAACGCTCTCTACATGGGGCTGGCCTTGTCGTAAATTTGGAAACTGCAGCTAGTGCAGAATGCTGCTTACAGGCTGTTGGTGGGTGTACCTGGATGGGAGCACATCCAGCCTGTGCTGAAGGCCCTGCATTGGCTGCCAATAGCATACCGAATTTGCTTCAAGGTGCTGGTGCTCACCTTTAAAGCCCTATATAGCCAGGGTCCAACATACCTGAGGGACAGCCTTTCCCCACATATGCCCCAGAGAACACTGTGGTCGGGGTCACAGAACCGGCTGACCCTTCCGGGCCCCAAGGATGCCAGGCTCACTGCGACGAGGGCCATGGCCTTTTCAGTGGTGGCTCCTTACTGGTGGAACGAGCTTCCGGAAGAGATCAGAGCCCTGCGGGATCTCTTACCATTCCGCAGGGCCTGCAAGACGGAGCTCTTCCACCAAGCCTTCAACTAGGAGCCGCCCCCACTATTACCATTAACGAGCCCAGCCCTCAGCTTTAACATCTGGCTCATTTCATCGAGAAACTCAGGATGACGCTGAGCCAGAATTCAGCAGTTGTAGACATCTTTAGTACGCTACCGCAAGTAATGAGCTGTATAACTAATAGCACCTTATGATTTTATCTGTATAGTACTGGTTCATATGCTTTATATGGTTTTATCGGCAATTGGTGCCACCGTTGTAAGCTGCCCTGAGTCCGGTAGTGGGGAGGGCGGGGTATAAATTGAATTAATAAAATAAAAATAAAATAAACAGACATAAGGAACCTTGAAGATAGCCTAAATATTGTAATGTTACCAGCTTCTAGGAGCTCTACTGAGCCTGCTTCGGCGGAGAGGGCAAGGTATAAATCAAATAAATAAATAAAATAAAACCAGCTCATTATCTCTGAACAACAACTTCAGTACACATGAGTTCTGTAGCAAACAGGAGCTTTTTTGTTTCAGTGCAATACCAGCAAATCCTGCACACACATACCCATAGTTCACATGTTCTGTCAGATCATGGCACAACATGCCTGAATCTTAGGCCCATGGACTTCCTCTGTCTTTTTTCTGGGAATTTCTGCTGGTGGAAGAGATTTCCCTCACACACTGCAACTCAAAATAGCCCCTTCCATGGCGGAGAAGTTAAAAAAAATCTTGTTTCCCTCCAAACCAGGATTTCAAACCATCTTCAAACTGGTTTGCAATCCTAGTTCGAAGGGGAACTACAAACCATTGTTTGCTGGTGTGGCTATAATGTTAAATTATGGTTGTCAGTGAACTGAACTGAATAGGAGTGTATGAGTGGAAGTGGGGGAGCACACAAACCTAAGGCTCACTCATGTAATGAGAGCCAGTTTGGTGTAGTGGTTAAGAGTGTGGACTCTAATTTGGGAAAACCAGGTTTGATTCCCCACTCCTCCACATACAGCTGCTGGGTGACCTTGGGCAAACCACAGTTCTCCCAGAGCCGTTCTCTCAAGAGGAGTTCTCTCAGAGCTCTCTCAGCCCCACCTACCTCACAGGGTGTCTGTTGTGGGAAAATGAAGGGAAGGCGATTGTAAGCCAACTGCATGAAGGGCAGGGTATAAATCCAATCTCCTCATCCACCTATTCTTCCTCCTCCTCCTCCTCCTCCTCTTTGGGTTGCTTTACACATGAACCCTTCAAGAGTTTCATTTGTCTGAAGTGCCTAGAAAAGGCTATCATACTGTTACATTGTTGTTTTTTCCTCCAGTGGATAATTTTTTCCTAGTTGATTTTTTACGTTGTTTTTTCTTCCAGTGGATAATTTTTTCCTAGTTGATTAAGTTTTTCCAAAAAACGTTAGTCACCATCCTTACAATTTCATGAATCAGAGATATATAACCTATGTGGAATTTTATATTTTAACCCGGTAATCTGAAGTGCTGAATTTTATGTATGCCAGATATGGCACACACACAAAAATGTCCTCTGTAAGAAGTTTTTATTTGCTGCCTGTCGCATTGTGTTTCAAAGTATTCCGGTCATCTGGCACACTAAAAAAATGTAAGTACATCAGGCTGTTTTACCTCAGAGATTATCCAGTGGGTAATTTTTGCTTTGGCATGCACTCTAAATTGCACTGTGTGCTAAATTAGTGGAACTGTAAAACGTTGGCTTCCTCAAAATTATTCTGAAACATTCAGCACAAATAGCCTGCATGTCTTGAAACAAAAACTTTGAACAGTAGCATCAGCCAAGTGAATAGATATTGTAAAGTGGCATTGTTAGGAAGCATTCATCAGTATAATAGCCACATTACTTTCCTGTTAATGCTGAAAGTGTCGTCAAAGTCCAAACATTTAACCTACACTCTTCCTAGTCTTCTCAGTACAGTCCTGCTCCTGTTGCGGCTTCTAACTAACTTCAGACAGGAAACCCGGCTATGGAATTTAGGAAGTTTCTCCTGCATAATTAAGGGCCCGTTATGGTGTCAGGATATGTTGTATAATAAGCCTTGACTATTCTGAAATAGTAATTATTACCCAGATAATGAGAATCTAGTACCACTCTTAATGTCTGGTGTGTGTCATCGATTTTGTACACAGTAACAATTAAATTCAGTACCCCACTTTGTATACTTGCTGCAACTAGCTTTGTAGTACTTCACACTTATATGTGCATTGTCCAGTCTAATGTTTATGCTGCTCATTGTATTAGCAAACTGCTAAACTCTCTTCTGTTGAAATCAATGAAAATTAAAAGCAATAAGCAGTGCTCAGTCTTTGTAACCTGACAGAATGCAGCTTAGTTAAAAAATTAATTGAAGGGAATCTTTTTTCTCCTTAAGTAAGTGAGGGTATGTGATGGTTTTCATTTTGGCTTTTGTTAATTCTTTCCCCCATTTTGGACTTTTCAGCTTACAAATTTGGAAAGGAAGTGGCAAAACCATGAGCAAAATAACTTTGTGATGAAAGAATGTATCCTTTTCATTTTAACAAAAAGAGAGTGCTGGAAATCATCACAACAAATTGTGCAGGTATGTAAAGGATAATGGAGCTGCGGTGGCTCAAGTGGTGAAGACGCTGAACTGCAGGCTGTGGAAGGTTGGTAGTTCAGCAGTTCGAGACCCGAGTGTGCCGCATGACGGAGTGAGCTCCTGTCTCTAGTTCCAGCTCCTGCCAACCTAGCAGTTCGAAAGCAAGAAATTGCAAGTAGATAAATAGGTACCACTTCGGTGGGAAGGTAACAGCGTTCCGTGCGCCTTGGTGTTTAGTCATGCCGGCCACATGAACACGGAAACGTCTTCGGACAGCACTGGCTCTTCTGCTTTGAAACGGAGATGAGCACCGCAACCCTAGAGTCGGATTCGACTGGCTTTCGAGCAAGGGAACCTTTACCTTTATGTAAAGGACATCTGTTAGAAACTGTATTAATTTAACTTTCAGCAAGTACAAATACTGTTTTGATGGACCAACTAATACATTGATTTTCCACTGAAGCACTGCTGTCCCCTTCTACTGGAGGTACAGAGAAGAGCTCCTTTTGTGTTGTCTTGTTAGATCAATACGTCTGCTGTTATCAGATATCACAAGTCACTACTAACATTACCTGTAGAAGCAATTAGAATTGTACCAATTGGATTTGTGTTAATCTCCCATTTATTCCAATAAGAGTGTCAAGTAGGAACTAAAATCTTTACTATTGAATATGCCAAGTGTTGAACTTTGGGTTTGTATTGTACTGATTATCAGCATTCTAACACCAAAATGACAAAGGAAAGGAATGGTTTCTTGCATGTGACAGCCATTCAGCACATTGCTAGTAAGTTTAAAGAAACTATTAGTGTCTGTCTCTCATATGTTCTGTACCTGTATCTATTCTGAACAGACGTGCAGACAATATATTTAAGAGACACTGAGTGTGAAAAGACATTTATTCTGCAAATAATCTCTTTTCACGAATTAATGGCATGAGGCACCTGACAATTTGAAGCTGCTGTTAGAGCAGTGTGGACCTTTCTGTCCAAGACTTCTGGGTCAATACATTGTTAAATAAAGAAATATTGGTGTTTCTTTCCCATTATCTACAAACCCAGAGCCCACACAGATAGCCCAGTTACCCTCAAGTAACCCCTCCCATCCATTTGGTTACCTGTATCATCCTGCAATATGGTAGGGAGGATTTCATCACACATTAAGTGCAGGTGAACATTGGTAATACTTGGTAAATTGGTCATTAGCAACATCTCTCAGAGTTCTTGCAGGAGGAAACCATTACAAATGTTTTACTGACTTATCTGCTACTTAGATATTTATCAGAAACATTTTTCCTTAACTTTTATCATCAGTTATAGCTACAAAAAGTCAGGAGAGTGATTACCGGCCCATAATGAAGAATGTGTCTAAACAGATTGCGGAGTATAATAAAACTCTCATCGAAGCTTTACAGAACAACAGGAACTGAAACCAGGCAGTTCCTCCATAAACCAGAGGATCTACTTGCTGAATTAGAATCTAGAAACTTCTGATCCTTCCCCTCAGCACAATAGAAATCTTTAAGTGTGCATATTTCCATATGCTGGATGGTAAAACCCATGAAATTTCATTTCTTCAAATTTCATTTCATTTATTGGATTCCTCTCCTGCCCTCCCCTGCAAACAGGCTCAGGGTGGGTTACAACAAACCATAGATACACAATCCAACTTCTAAAACTTCACAACCAATCATTAATTATTCTCAGTGTAATACTGTATTCTCAGCAAGGCATCCAGTGAAGACTCTTTAGTTTACAATGTTTAAGCCTGGATTAGTAAGTAGCAAGCAATAGTAAAGTTTTAGCCTCTAGTAATAGTTGTAGGTGAGCCTCAGTGCCCTTGCTAATAAGAAGACATTGGCATATTCTTATACAGCCAAAAATGTTTGCTTACCTATGTGTTTATATCTGTGTATATGACCATTCTATCAAACTTCCAAAGGGGGGAAGGGCTGAATAGTAGGGAAAATGACCTAGAATTGTTTAATTAGGGATAACCAAATAAAGGTATTCAAGGTATTATCCAGTGTCTGTTGTTTTTCAAATATTTATTGAGGTGTGCATGCCTCAGATTAGAAGAAAGTGGGGGTTTCAATCTTAATCCTTAGTATTTTTACTGTTGTTTGAAATATTATGATTAGGTAAATTAGTCTCCTTTGCTGCTGATGCCAGACTTAGTTCGGCATCACTGCTAACAGAGGGTGTCCTCAAGATGGGTGAGTTATATTTCCTCCAGCTGGCAGGCTTGTTAAAATTAGCCAGCTTGTTACCTCTTGCAGAAGAAGAAGCAGGGGTGGGTTTAGTTATTCTGGGACTCTGCACAAAAATCCAGGATGGGGCCTCAGAATCACTGCCACCCCACTGCAAAGACCTCCAGGTAAGCAAGGGGTTGCCCGTTGCCCCGTGAGATGGACGGGAGGCTCCACTGCCACCAAAAGCCAGCTGCCCATGCCCACGACTGGACAGGTACAAGCGGCAACAGGAGCCTGATCTTATTTTCCCCTACCTTTGGAAGATTGGGCCATGGGTTGTCAAGCCCTACCCCAAGCACATGACAACAACAGCTGTTCCTGTTGTTATTGGCTAAGACTGGGTCTGGGAAGAAGGCCTCTCTGGGTTGTCAGTCCCGCCAGCTCCACAGAACATAATCATTTCAGAGCTCTTACTCTTTTTGTTGTTGTTGTTTATCTGTCATCCTAGCAAACCTTTATGAAGCCTTATTTTACTGCAATACTGCATACTGCAAACCTCCCCCCACATACACATATAATTCTTAATTGAATGGGAAGAGAGCATTGCCTCAGTTAGGAGCCCTTATGACACTGGATAGATCCTCGGTCAGGAGCCCTTATGACACCAGCTAGATCCCTGGGCATTAAGCTTGCCACATGGATAGCAACTTCCAAAGGTTCAAAAGTGTCCTCTTGGACGAGATGCATTAGCAAGCATCTGAGATGGCTCTGAAAGGAAGGACACCTCCCAAGCTGCGCCTTAAGCCAGCTCGGACGACACCATCAGGCACCCTCCCCACTCCTCAAGCTGATGTTGCATCTGCCTGGCCTCTAGTGTGATTAACACATGGAATTCACTGCCACAGGAAGTGGTGGCGGCTACAAGCATGGACGGCTTCAAAAGGGAATTAGATAAGCATATGGAGCAGAGGTCCATCAGTGGCTATTAGCCACAAGGTATAGATAGGAACTCTCAGGTTGGGGCAAGTGATGCTCTGTCTTCTTGGTGCTTTGGGGGGGGGGTCAACAGTGGGAGGGCTTCTAATGTCCTGGCCCCACTGGTGGACCTCCTGATGGCAGCTGGTATTTCTGGCCACTGTGTGACACAGAGTGTTGGACTGGATGGGCCTTTGGCCTGATCCAACATTGGCGTCTCTTGTGTTCTTATGTTCTATGGTTCTCAGCTGGGTGGAGGATTTTTGTTCCCTTCCTTACAAAGCAGTGTCTCAGTAGCAAGAACTGGCTAAAATTTTCAAAAGAATAAAAATTTCCCCTGTAGCTTCCCATTCTGTTATCACTTACCTACACTATGATAATCTCTTTATCTGAGAAGCTATATTCAGTCAAGCTGGGGGGGGGGCGGGTTTCTCAAAAACAGAAAGATGTATTCTGGTTCAAACAGGGAGGGGACATACCCAAGAGCTTGTTATTCTAGTGTGCTTCATACAAAACATATAAATATGATCATTAGGTATTTTAATGCTTAAACTGAGCACGATGTTGGGCTCAAGGCGGCTCACACTGCCTGGCTCAATGCCAGATTCATATATAACACATTAAAACTCAAAACATTATTAAAACATGTAAAACATTTAAAAACATTTAAACAATCAACATTTAAATAAATAAATATGCTTTTTAGGAATAATCCAGAAGTGGAAGAGAAAGGCCAAGGCTGTGTTTGTTTATTGTCTACTGTTTTTGCAACTGGAGTCATAAACAGCTAACCCTCATCCCACAATAAACCTCGTTCCACAGGAAAACATGGAACAGTTTAAAGGTCGCTGGTGCAAAAGCTGTCATGTGTTTTGACAACAACTGCTAGAAATTTTGCCATGCGCAAAGTAGCTTGTTTGTCTTCATCTCTAAGTAACCAGGATGATTTTGCTTCTGGAGAGAGGAAGCAAAATATGATCCGTAGAGTCAATTTTACCACTGCCTCAGTTACAGGGTTGATCTGAGTATGAAATCCCATTAAACCTTCCTGACATCACAGCTGAAGGTTGGGCATTCAGGCGCGCTAGCATGAATGCCTTTCTATAGTTCGGAAGAATTGTCTCAGATAAGTAGTTTGGCAATGTTGTTGGAGGCTGAACGCCTACTGAAAAGGTTGAGCACGCCCTGCGGGCTCTAATCGACATGGTCTCGACCATGTTCAAAAGCAGATATTAGGGGGGGGGTGTAGAAAAGGAGACAGCAATCATTGCAGAATTGATTCTTCCAAAGTTATAACTTCGTAAACATGTAATCTAGATAGTTTCCCCCAGATTTTTCAGTCTTGGGGGTTGTTTTAGGGATCATCATCTCACCTTATACCAGCTGTTTAGTCATTCAGTTGCTGCTGGATGGGTTTCATACAGCAGTCCTTTGTAGAGTTTCCTATTAATTCCAGTTCTCTTTCTCTTCTCTTGGAAACATAGGGTGTAAATGCAACATCCATAGCGACATCATTGTTCTGTGCAAAGACCTCTCCAGGCAGTGATATAGCTGCAGACATGGCATTATACTACATGTTCTCAGGAAGAGGGGAGAAAGAATCAGGGAACAGTGGCAGCTCTATGCTTTTTGCAGCATCTAATGCTGCCATTCGTCAATTTGAGCAAAGAAAGAGCGCTTTCGACAGAAGTGCAAGCATGATTGGAGCTCCATTAGAGACTTGCCTGTTTCCTGCTTCAGCTCTGTAAATCTGTTGCTTTCTGTTTTTCATATTACAATATCTAGATAAGACAAAACAGGATTTCTATAGACCAGAATCTGTTATCTAGAGGAAATTCCCACTTACATCCCTTCCTTTTGGAGAGAGCTTTAAGCTATTCCAGTGAGAGACTGAAAGGGGGGGGGGGACTTGCTGAGATAAAGTTGATGTCTAATATCCTCACAGGAATCTTTTCCTCGGCCATTTGGTTTGCCCATTGAAACCCCCTCATGCTAAAACAACACAGTTTGATGAACAATGGAAAGAAGCTGCATACTGAACAAACATACTGAATGAAATTCCCTTTTGCTCTTCACAGGGGCTCCTTATGGCACTAATTTTGCAAAACAGCATGGGAAAGTTCACAGGCCTTTGTTCTGTCCTTTGCAGGATTCCCACCATAAGCAAAGGACTTGTCTGGTTTATATACTGTTATTTTCTTTCCCATGGTGCTTTTCTCACTGCCTGTAGCCACCTGAAGACTCATTTCACAATTCCACCCAACTATCATTTTTTTGTAAGGAGGACAGTTCAGAAATTATGCAGGCTCATACTAAGTGTAATAATGGGAGATCTGTGACCCAGCATTTTAAAAAAAAAGAATCAGCTGTACAGGATCTTGGCTGTGCCTTGTCGTGGTGGGGAAAGGGAGCTTCATCCTTACCTCTCTACACACAGTTTCACAAATTGAAACTCTTTACACACAGAGAGAGAGAGAGAGTTAATAAGTTTAGAAGGGGGAAAGGGGCCACCTGTCTTTCCTTGCTAGGAGTACTAAGAGCCTTATTTACCAATATTGTCACAGTGAAGGTCTTGTTCAACTAAAAAAAAACTAATGGGGAGAAGGTTAAACTCATGTCTCTGCTTCATGGCTCTGATCTGAATCAGGC